CCCAGAGTTGACGCCATACCACTGAAATACCCTTCAGGCGAGGTTTTCGTTCTAATCCTACACAGCGGTGGGGTTAAATTGGATGAGTGGCCCTTCGTGTTGTTGTTTTTTTCCTTCTATTTGCTTGTGGCTTCAGGAAAGGCGGGTCTATGTCTGGCGTTGGTGGTCATGGGTCTTTCCAGGTCTATTTGGGTCTGAATCTGGGTTTGGGTTTAGGCTCGTCTCGATTAATAGCAGCAAGCGGGCGTTACGATGGTGTTGCGCATCAAACCCCTTACCATGCGGGTTCGAGGAGTGAAAGGGGGATGTCTCGTGTACTAGTGTTTCTGAAGTAATCTTAAAGCAGCGATGGCCCTTGCGCGGCTCGTCCATGATAGGATGATGCTCACCCAAACTGCAGTGACCGAGATCTGCTTGTGTTCACGAGCCGACAGCGAGGCCTTTGAATGAAGGTGAAAGTAAGGAACCCGTTTGTTCGGGTGAACGGATATGACCATTCTGCAAGATAATGAATATGAGAAAAGGACCTCAAGCCAAGCGGGTAACACCATCAAACTGTAAGGCATGAAAAGAACTCTTTAGGTATCTAAGTAAAGGTAGTGGCTACTGAATTGATCTGAATCCTTCAATGGTGTTTGTTGTATGACCGGTCCCATGATGATATATACTCATACACGCTACTACCACCTTCGTCACCAACCTGCCGTGCTGACCTTTTGTACTAGGTTGGAAACAAATTACCCATCATGGCATCGACGCCGCTCTTCACTTCCACTGCTTCTTCTCGCTCCTGCCACAGTGAAGCTTACTCACTTCACCTCTTTCCAGCCCCCGCCTTTCTCCTAGCCTTACCAGGCCTAGGCGCAGGCTTGAACTTCTTGGGCTTGCCGCCTGCTGGGCCGCCCGATTTCATCTTCCTCGCACTGAACCCGCTCACGTCGCCCGACGAGAGGGCGTCGTTGGACTTGGCGTACTTCTTCTTGCCGCCGAAGCCAAACTTGGCATCCTTCCGTTGCCTCTTGGCGTTGGGCCCGCCGCCCTCCTTGCCGTCGCGGCCACGCTTTTTGCTGTTGTTGCCGCTAGGGCCGCCCTTGAGCTCGTTGTCGACGGCAACGTCAAAGAGGTCTTCGGCTTCGTTGGCGCCGGTGGGGCCACCGCCGTCCTTGCGCTCTGTTTAAGGAGGAGGCGGAGGTTAGTTGGCTTCAGTTATCATCAAGTGGGGGAGGGGAAAGAAGAGGAAGAGGACTTGTTATGGGACTAAGAAGGGAAGGGGAAGGGGAAGGGGGAGGAGAAGGATAGGAGAGGCACGTACTCTTCTTGAGAAGATTGATCTTCTCGAGTGTGTCACGCTTCTGCTTGGCACGCTCCTGCTGCTTGGCCACCTGCACCTGCTTGCCGAACTTCTTGAGGTCGCGCTGCTTGCGCGCCTCGGCCGAGGCCTTCTTGGCCGTGGCCTCCTCGATAAGCTTGGCCTTGACCTTCTCCATAGTCTCGTCGCTGCGCAGCGTCTCGGCAAAGTAGTCGGTAGGGCGGGTGAAGGGAACACCCTCCTTGCGGAGGAGGGTGCGGCCGACGCGGGCGGCCTCGAGCGCCTGGTTCATGAAGGCCAGCTCGCGGGCCAGGTCGTCGTCAATCGAGGGGATGGACTCCTCCGTCACCTTCTTGGCAACGATGGACTGGTGGAAGGCAAATGGGACTTTGTCGGTTGTGTCGAGAGCGAAGCGCTTAAGCGCTGTCAGAAGACCTTGCTTGTTGTTTATTGTCTGGCGCGCCTTCGAAATGGCCTTGACCTCCTCTCCTTCTTCTCCGTCGACGTCGAGCTCGTCAATGTCAATCTCATCCTCGTCCTCCTCCTCGTCGCTCGATTCCTCGGCGGCCTTCTGGTACTTGTTTGCCTGGATGCCGGCGGCGGATTGCTTCTCGTTCAGGTCGCGCTCGAATTCTGAGTCGGAATCGGATTCGTCAAGTGCATCAAGATCGAGATCGTTGTCCTCTTCGTCGTCACTACCCTCCTCAGAATCTGAACCGGCCTCTTCTTGTTGCTCTGGTTTCTGCTCGTCGGCCTTGGTCTGAGTGGTGGTTTCTTCCCCCTTCTGCTCCTCCTCGACCTCCATCTTGTCCTCTACAGGGGTCTCTTCGACGACCTGCTTGGGCTTTCTGCCACGCTTCTTCTGCTCCTTCTGGGGCTTCTCTTCAACAAGCTTCTCGACCTTCTCAGCCTCAAGGGCCTCGGTGGCCGGCTTTTTTGTGCGGGTGGACTGTCGCGGCATTGTGATTATGTGGGGTTGCTGTACAATCGATTTGGATGATGAGCTCGAGAAGCGGCAGCGCCTGCAGTTCTGGAAACTTTTTTTTGACATGGCTGCCATTACCCGATAAGATAAGCCTGGTGGGTCGGAGGCAGACCCACATGCTTGGCGCCCAGCATAGAGGTATCCACAGTCCAGCTCCTGGAAGTCCCCTTCACATTCTCTCTGAATCTGGCACATCAAACCCCAACCCTTACGAATTACAATGGGTCTGTGGTGACGGTGATGGTCACGGAACTGCGTTTTCTCGGTGATCTTAAGATTGATTGCTCGCGTATATCACCATGCCTGTGTATCTCTGCCCAGTTTCTCGTAAGCTACCCGCAGCCTGTGTCAAGGTGGTTCAACACGAGTCTCTTGTTACATCAAACTTCGCGTTCAGTGGAGGAGCCTTGTCCCGCGCAAACATCACGAACCTAACCTGGCCGAAACAGATCAGATATATGTCTGGGACGTGAAGCTAATATAAGTAATGAGGTGTAGTCTGTTTTCTCGGAGCCGAGGCCATTCCTCGACGTATCTTGCCTTGATGATCGATCAAGCGTTCCATCTGCAGGTTGACAGCCTTATCACTGAAGTCAGTTACTCTGAAAAGTCTTGCATACGATGGAAGGAAATCCACAATCATAGTCACGGTCATGAAAGGATCCAAAGATATGGTGTCAACCGGGGGGTTTTTTTATTAAAAGAACTAACACTCTTCAAATCCTTCATCCAAGCCAACTCACCCCCACAATCCCTCCCCTTCGCAAACCAAGATCAGAAGGATGCAGTGAAAACTCCCCATATGGTCCTCCCCCTCCAGAAATTCCATCCCGCGAGTCCCCCCTCCCTGCCAAGACAGAAAGGAAGACTTCCCTCCTCTACAATCCTATCCAAGAAATTTCCAAGAAAGTGCGCAAAGAAAAAGGAGTGGTGAACCAAGCGCCATACCCAAGCCCGTGCAAGTCCCACCCAACAAAAGAGAGAAGCATGTCGCGAAATAGCTCCCTCCCAGCAGATGGAAGAGGTCGAGGTTGGAAGGTGTGAGTCCGCCGACTCCCAGGTGACGCTTGCCGAAGAGTGTGAACCACAGAGAAGTTGCTGCATCGTTTCCCGCCGGCGATGTCCTCAGTCCGCAAAGGGTGTTTGGTGTCGAATCAACGACAAAAGAGAGAAAGGGTCAGAAAGATAAGGTGAGTTGCCTGAGTGTCGAAAATTGAAGAGGGAAAGCTCCGTGTGGACGAAAAGTAGTCCCGTGTGAAGTTATCCCCAACAAGAAGAAGCGAAAGTCGTTTATGTGAAGGATGGTGTGTGTGATGTGTGCGGATGTATATCCCCGGTTGACAAAGGTTTTTTCCATTCCCATCAAGGAAAGATCCTCACCGCTCCGGTTGTTGTCAGTGGGTGCTCCCATTGTGCAGAGTCCACCATGAAGCAGAGACAAGAAGCTTCCTAGGCGAGGTTGCTGTTGTGGCCGAACGAGAGGTGGGCTTTTCGATCATGATAGAGGGAAAAGCAGATTGCTGGTCAGACGTTGAGAGGCGAGATACCGATCTTCAGTGGTTCTCATCGAGTGATGTTGCGAGAACAGGATCACTCAGGTGAGATGGGTGGTTTGCCAGAAGATTGCTGGAGGAAAGCTGGTTGGTATCTGCCTCTCAATGCTCTCGTTGGCCCTTCAAGGCACTGTGAGGTTATTTACATAACAACGCAGTAGCCGTTGAAGTTCATGGTGGTCTGGGGGACCTTGGTGGAAGCAGCGGTGGAAGGCATGTTGATGGTTTGTGGGTTGTTTATTGAATGGATTCAAAGGCTGTTGTGGGATGAGGAGGAAAAGAAAATCCAGACTTGGGGAGGAGGAGACGGACGTTCTTATAGATTTTTCACTTCATTGAATTTTCTGACAAACGTCAGTCTGAAGTGTCTCCTCCAATCTTGCCTTGGTATCATCACTCTCAGACCAGAGAGGGAAGAATGACACTGCACCACCGGCTTCGCATGCGCAGCCTCTTTGGCAGAACGAATGCGGCTTCGATGGCAAACAAAACGACGGTTTTGACGGGCTGTCCTATTCTCTCATGTGGTGAGCGCTTAGTATTGTGCATATCTTGAGATTGTACTCGGCGAACAAGGGACGATCTCTGCCATCTTTCATCCCTTTGCTTGCAATGGAGGCGTGCCACTGGATGATGTCAAGAGATATTATGAAAACTTGCACGTGGCACTCGCGTGTACACAAGCCCGACAAGGTTCTAGAACGGAACGTCCTTGTACATTTTGTACATGATCGGAATTAATTATTATTCTTGCTTGTTGCTATTGTAGTATACGCATACCGCTTTGCGTAAATGTTTGGCAGCTACTCAGGGGTTTGTTTGGTTGGCGACGTGTGGCGCTTAGTATTGTTCCTCCTTACTACCTATTGTTTCTCGGCCCCATCGAAAATAAGACTCGAGTCAACTCGACACCAACAATGCCAATCGTTCCAACTATGCATGCAAACCCTTCTTTCTTCGGTCCTGAAACATTCAGGTATGCCTATGAAGAGAATGTGGTACTGTGTTGCAGTGGTTGCGTGTGCATCGTCCTCCTCGGAAACGGCCGTCTGTCGCGGTGAAGTGCCGAGGTTGGCGATGCGAGACTGGGCTATGATTTTTATTTCATTTTGTTCTTTCAAAGAATATGATCAATAAATACAAAGGTTGGTAGTTCGAATTGCTTCCGTTTAGAAGCGAGCAAAGGGAAGCCTGTTCTTGTCAGCGAATGCGTGGCGGCTACAGCAACACAATATGACATACCACTTTCCCTTGAGGGTGATGACCACCCACGAGGCGCCAGTCTCGTCGACTTCTTTGTCAACAGTAGTGTTGAAGCAGATGGCGCTCATGATTCCGTCGCCAAACTTTTCGTTCATGACAGCCTTGAAGGCATAGCCATAGTTCTGGACGATTTCGTACAGACGGTAGATCAAGGGCTCAACTGGAGGCATGGGGCCTGCCCGGCCGCGGTCAGGGAATCCCATCATCTGCTTGGCAATGGCTTCTTTGGGAACACTGAGCAACTCGGACAGCTTGTCGACATCCTCGGCCGAGGCCTGGACTTGCCCGTAGAACAAGCCGGCAACGGCAACTTCACTCCGCCCCAGATGCTGGGCAATGGCCTCGAAGGTCAAGCCCTTTTCTGTCTTGGCCTCAAAGAGCGTCTGGGAGTAAGCCGGGAGGCGGCTAGCGGTCGAACTCTGTGTGCCTCATCACTTAGTATTGGACTTCTTTGAGAAGGGTTAGACAAGATCGTACATCGAGGGAAGCGAGTCTCTGTTGCTCAGGCATCTTGTTTTTGATATCGGCGAAGCGTGTAAGATCAGTTGCAAACAAAAGGTAAAGTGGATAGGTGAAGTTGATCAGAAGACTGTCTTGTACAAAATGAAGGTTCTCGTTTATTTTATATCAAGCCAATACACACGGTTCGACTAGACCGCACGGTTCACGATCGACTGGACGTCATGAACAACACAGCCGCGTGGAGGCAGAGGGGAATACCAGTATGCCGTACCAATCGTCGAGGGGAATTATACCCCGCGCCCCGCCTTTCCTCTTCTCCTTGGCTGGTCGATGTATGTGGTGCCGTCGGACGGTCGGAGAAATGCCGGAGACTCGGGAACAGGCTCCATATATTAGTGTAGAGAACCAAAGTGAGCCGAGACAGGTAATCGCAACTGCCGTTCCGATCGGGGAACAAATCAACAACATGGAACCTAAGGGATCAGAAAGCGCATGCCCGATACCGGTTATCAAGCGCACAACAGCTGTGGTGCACTAGCTCTCAAACATAGGTAGGTATTCTCAGCGTGGACAAAACGATTCAACGTAGCAAAGTGATCTATGGGATGACACCCGCCGCGATCGAAGTCAGCCTGTGGAATGTATATGGCGACTCCTGAGTGGTTGCCAGAAATCCCTTGTGATAGATATTTGATTCGATGATTAAGTACAAGAACGGTGAACGGCAACAACTGTTGAACGGCAGGCTTGTGATGTCAAGACCAGCACATGAACTGAATGTTGCGCACTACTGTGTAAGTGCAGTGGATTTGGCGGTACTTACATACCGTGACATGTTGGGATTGTTTCTTTCAGTTGTTACGGTGATGTCGCAAGTGGGGTTGCAGCAGTGGATCGATTGGATCTCAAGGTCGGGTGGGTCCCGTCTCTCTCCAGCTGCTTCGCTGGTGGATCCTCCTGTCATGGAACAGCCCGGAGCCCCCGTCGCTGGTGGACGCAGAGACGCACGAGCCCCATCAGCTAAGTGGGTACAGATATCTTATCTTATCCGATGTGTGGGGAAATTTTTTGCAACATCGGACATTGAATCCATCAGGGACCAGCATCATCTACCCAACCTTGACATCGGCTGAAGCAGTGCAAGAAGACAATCCAGGACAGCAAGAAGCCTGAAACATTTACGATGCCTCATAAACACACCCGCCGCGAGAAGGACCTGTCGACGTAAGCAAACAAAGGCGTGTTATACGATCAATTGATGGATACCTGACTTCCGACACAGCTTCGACCTTCCCCCAACCCAAATTGCAAAGCCGCTCCCGCCCACGACTATTTCCAAGAAGAAACAGCCTGTACAAAAGAAAAACACCGATGGCATCCAGAAGACTTCGTCCAAAAGGAAACGAGCACCTGAAACTCAGGATGCGCCGCGCGCCTTCAAGCGTCTGATGGCTTTTGCCGAAGGAAAGAAGCCGCGTTCCGGGCTCGACAATGGCGCACCGCCACCCAGCAAGAAGGCCAAGAAAAAGGCAGCTGCCGCCGCCGCCGCCGCCGCTTCCAACGAGACACCCGCTCCCGAGAAAGAACCAGAATCAAAGCCCGAACTCAAGATCCGACCAGGCGAGAAGCTTTCCGAGTTCAGTCAGCGTGTAGACGCCGCGCTACCCATCAGTGGTTTGGTGAACAACAAGGCCAAGAACGGTAAGGATCCGCTCGGTCTCAAGATCTGGCGAACGAGGAAGGAGATGAAGATGCACAAGCTTTACGATGAATGGAGGGTACAAGACGCCAAGATCAAGGAGAAGAGAGAGGAAGAACTGGAAGAGCTGGAAGAGAAGGAGATGGAGGAGGAGTCTATGGGCGTCACTTGGAAGCTGAACATGGAAGCGGGGAAGAAAAAGAAGAAGGGTAAAAAGGGCTCTAGATACCTTGGCGAGTCTAAGGAGAAGGAGGATGATCCGTGGGAGGAAATCAAGAAGAAGCGAGGCGAGGCCAAGGTCGGTCTCAACGAAGTGGCGGATGCTCCTCCCGAGTTGAAGATTCCTAGCAAGAAATTGCTTGTCGGCGGAGCGACGGTCGATGTCGAGGGAATCCCCAAGGCTGCGGGAAGTTTACGGCAGCGTGAGGAGCTACAAAAGGTTCGTGAAGACGTGGTGGCACAATACCGCAAGCTTATGGCTGAGCGGAGACCTAATACGCTCGTATAGCTAGGCTGAGGTGGATTGGGTAATGGCTTGTATTTCAATGGAGTCCTGTATGGCAGCACAAAATGTTGGCATGCATCTGATAAGGTTTACAAGGAGCGTAATCAAATTCTTTGCAGGGTAATGCCATAATACGAAGGAATATTGACCAACCGCGCGCTGCTGGTTTAGGTTTGGATGCAGTGGTCAAATTGTTCCTTTGTGGTAGCCTGGGTAGTGCATTTGATGGTTGCCGACGGGACGGGAGTGCTATGACATCCCAATTCGGTGGGTGCAGTCACCTGCCAAAACCTGTCATGTCGGTGACAAGAAGTGGAAGTGAAATGAGCACTACCTACCCCCAGGTACCTACCTATGTACTCGTCATTCGTCATCGACACTCGCAATCGGGGAATGGCAAGAGCATTACACTTGCAACTCTCAGACGTCGGGAGCTTCCTCCAATTGCTTCCCACCCTAGTAAACAACATAGAAATAAAAAAAAAAAAAAAATCAAAAAAAGGAATAAAATATAAACGGAGGAGAAAAGAAAAAGAGAGAGAGAAAAGGAAAATTTCATTCCCCCACACAACAACGGACCCGACGGACCTGGACCTGGCCAGAAGTTGCCAAACGGAAAGTGCCCATTGCTCTAACAACCTAGAAATTTTCAATTGCCCCTCGTCTGCGACTGCCATCTTATCTCCATCTACTGCTCGTCCCCCTCCATTCACTTGTACCGACAGAAACTCGAAACAGCGGCATTCCTTACCACTTTGCACGGATCCAGTTTGATAACCAAAGTCAAAAAAAAAAAAGAGGAGAAAAAAAAAATATTGCCTTGGTCGCACTCGAAGTGAGATCCTTTCCACCCAAAGCGACACCACCAAGAAATCAACCAAGCTCCCCAGTCCGCCCAACGAAACGCTCGCCGCTACCACCTAGCGAAAAAATTGCATCGCGAGAGATCTTCGGTTCGAGCCCCAGCATCAAACTTTCCACCCTCCTTTTTTATCGCCTCATGCCGACCGTCATGCACCACGGTTCTCACTCATTATGAGCGGCGTCGGTCTCGAGGTTTTGCTCGAGGGTCTCATCCCCGAGATCGCCTATTCCGGAGAGACAGGTGAGTTCTTTTCAATTCCCCGTTTCTCATCCTCATTCGCCTCCATACCTCCAGCCAAGAATCTCGATTCTCTTACACCAATATCCCGCCGCGCTATCACCCCCTTGGCAACAAATATTACAAGACTTGAATAAGCTTGCGCTGCTCTTGTTTGCAGTCAACTTGAGGCTGTCTTGTCGCAGACAAGTAGAAACGCAAAGTGATGCATTTTTGAGATGGACTTGAATACTAACTCGGTTTGATATTGCAAAGGCGTGTCTGTCTCTGCACTGCTGAAAATTGTCCGTCAGTATCACAACACGCTCGACGCGCGGCAAGATGCAACTTCAGGAGAAGATATCGCTGCTGTGGCGGCGCAAATCACACAGAAAGATGAAGAGAAGCTCGATGAAAGCTCTTTCTCACCGGCCGAGATGGTATCGGCTCGCTGGGCCTGGGATTGGCTGCGAACCCGACCCCAAATCTTAATCAACAAGAATAAGCGCTACAACAAGCTTGAGCTACAAGAAGTTCTCGCTCTACCGGAAGCCGCTGAGAGCAATGAAGCAGAAGTCGATGGCGAGCCTGCCGACATTTTCAAAGAACCCGCACCAAAAGCAAAACAGCCGGCGTCCAAGCTCAGCAAAGCAGCTGCTTCTCATCAGAAAACATCCAAATCGAGATTTAAAAAGGCGTTACTTACTATTCGGCCTCGAATCTACCCTGCCGAAGACCTTGTTTGGCAGACTCTCACTCGCCATGGTGTAGACTACAAGAGAGTCCCCGTTCTTGAATGGAAGTGTTTGCTTGGCATTGCATCTGTTAGAGACAAAGGCATTTTGCAGAGCGACCTTCGAAGATTAGTGGATCAGGATAAGCGCTCCCTTCCCAAGCGAACCGATTCCCTTGCCAGGAAAGGCTACATCGCAAAGCGGACCATAGTAGTGTCCAAGATGAAAACTAGCAAGCTCTGGCTTATCGACTTCGCGCCCCCCATTCTGGAGACTGAGACTGGTGGTCTTGATTTGTCAGTCGAGACGCTTACCAAGGACCTGGAGCCCGTTACCTGGCATGATCGGTGGACTAGGGATAACATCGACATGGAGGCTTTCGCTCGAACCTTCGTCGGCGTCGTCAAGGCATGGCAAGTCATTCGCTATGCCGATTTGAGGTCCAAGATGGGCGTCGTGGGGAAACACTGGCAGATGAAAACCCTTGCCAAGAACTGTCAACGTATCGTTGACTTGGGTGTTCTCAAGTACACCGCTGCCACCTTTCCTGGCGCACGTAAAGTCTTCAAGGACTGTCTCAAGTTCATAAGGGACCCAACAGACGAGGAATGGGAAAAGTTTCTTGCCACAGGCAAGAAGACATCGCTCTATTCGGATGCCACACGCCATCGGGAGCCCAAACCTAATGCGCTCGCCCTCTTCGGAAAAGCCACCAAAGCCGATGAGGCGGCGAAAAACGAGCCCAAGCCCAAGCGTCGCCGTATCTTCCCTGGCTGGAGTCCAGAGAAGCCCCTTGCTCAAAATGTATTTGAAGTGATACGGAGCGCAGGCCCAGCAGGAGCCTCGAATCCCCAGGTCAGCGTTGCCACGGTCGGATACGCCTTCCGCCGATACATGGCAAGCCACTTAACCAAGGTCGCTGAAACGCAGCAACCACCGCATCTCAAGCATTTTCAAGTTGTAAGCAGACTGGAGAGGAAAGGGAAGACTTCTGCCTATATGTTTTCTGTGGCAAACCCTGCTGCTGAAGATGATACCGAAGACACCCCACCCGCTGCGGCCGGCGCCAGTGCCTATGGCTTTGGCCAAGTACGAGCAAAATCGTTCCCCGAAACATCGGACCTTTCGCTTACGGA